TTTAGGGTTGTAGGGTTCAGGGCTGTAGGGTTTAGGGGTTTACGGTTGTAGGGTTTAGGGGTTTAGGGTCGTAGGGTTCAGGGCTGTAGGGTTTAGGGGTTTACGGTTGTAGGGTTTACGGTTGTAGGGTTTAGGGGTTTAGGGTTGTAGGGTTTAGGGTTTGGGGTTTAAGGTATGCATAGGGGTAAAATCCCCTCCTCTCAAGAATAAATACCCAAGAAAAAGGGCGGTACAAAACAGTGGAAATGTTCATCATCAGGGGGATTGAAGGGCGTTGATTATTAGGGGGAGAGGGTTGCATGCGGTATAAAACAGACTGAAGGCTTTAGCCAAGAAAGAAGCATGGCTGCTAGAGCGGTTCGGATGTACAGTTTAAGGTTTAGGGTATAAGGTTTAGGGTTCAGGGTTCAAGGTTTACGGTTTCAGGTTTAAGGTTGGGGGTGTAGAGGCTTTGAACGACGCCTGGGCAGGCTTGATAAATGCCGCCTTTGTGAGGGGGCCCCTGCGAACCGCAACTGGTCCGTAGTCTTAACTTTGGTTAGCTAGGCAGGAAGGAATGGAAAAGAAAATGGAAACTACTATAGGGTTTAGGGCATGAAGGAATGGAAAAGAAAAATGGAAACTACTATAGGGTTTAGGGAATGAAGGAATGGTAAAGAAAAATGGCAACTACTATAGGGTTGGACTTATTCCTTCATTCCTTGCTAACCAAAGGCCAGTAGTCGCAGAATACTCTGCCCTGAGCAACACAGCTTACTCGATTTGGGCCACATGGTTTCTTATGGTCGTCCCAAAGTCTGTCGCCTCCAGGCTCAACTCCAAATTCGGCAACTTATACACCATCATTACTAGAATCTTTATTTTCATCATCTATTGTATTAGTATTATCTTATTGCTTTCGCGATTCTTATTACTAATCTTATTACCATGATACTTATTCCTACTCCTCTTGAGAACCGACTTAGTAAGTCCCCTGAGCCTTCAGGTAATGTACATGGGAACACGTGGGCGGCCTTTGCACTAGTAGCAAGATCAACACGCAAAAAGCATGTGACAAGTCATGGCCGAAGCCCTGGCAATATGTGCTATAGTCTGAACTCCTTAAAAGGGCTTTATATAGGCGATCATGTAGGGGACTACTGTAGGGGTTATTAAGGGGGATACTAGGAGTTTAGACTTCAGCTCATATGTGTTTGTGGTTAAGGCTTAATGCCATTGCGGTGTACTAGTCTGAAGACTGGCCGTCATAGTTAGTCCAGCGACTGCATTCGGTGGTGTAAGGGAATGCCATTTGTGGAAGAAATCTTGCACCATCAAGGGTCCCTAAAGAACAGAAAATCCCAGGTCTGAATGGACTTCAGGTGGTGCAGGGTTTCTTCCATCAGCAAGTATACGAAATCTGCCCTCGAACCCTACTACAACTTAAGCTTGGCTGCTTCTTGCGGCTTCAAACGAGCTCTTCAGGACATCCTTAAGCAACCTCCTCTGAAAACCCTTAACCTGCCGATGAACAAACTGCCCGCCTGGTCCAAAGCTCCACCCACAAGGACAGCATAGCCTCAGTCACTAGACGATTTTGGTACCCTAACCCCTACAGTAAGGACCCTATAGCAACTATATGAGTAGTTTCCAAACTTAGGGTCCCATTTTCGCAACCCTAGATATTAGGTGCCGTATTATAATCATTAACCCAAAGGGGCCGATAATTTTGGGAACTATCCATATGATAGTCTTCCGGCCCTGAAGCTTTAGGGGATGGGGTTACCAAAGGCCCCTCGGTTGCTTAGGTTCCAGGGTAGGGAGAGAGTCGCTTTATTGGGGGGTCACGGGCATTTTTTACTGAGACATGCCAAGGATATTCAAAACATACCTTGGCGGTGAACAGTAGCTGTCTCTCAGCATAGTATCAGGGAACTGAACCTAAGTACTCCTATGAAGGTACATATTTATGGATGTTTATATCCTTTGTACCCAAAAGGACACTCCATGCACATAGAGATCAACGTTTTCAAGGATCCCTATATACAAACACAGAAGCCGAGCAAAACAATCTACCACATACTTGGGAACAGAAAGAAACCGGATTCCCTGCCCTACTCCAGCTAAAACCCTAAACCCCTAGCACCAGTCAACAACCAGCGTAGGGCGTGGGTTGGTTGGATCAATGGCTGGGCTCATTTGCGCTGGGCAATGGTGGTGGAAGCCTGTGGTTACTTCAACGAGGTGCCCTGACGTGCGTTCCTTCCCCAATCTGGGGGCAGGCCCCTGCTTTTAAGGACCACCCCGAAAACCCGGGGGAACCCGGAACTGTCTGTCCCTTAACCTTTAAAGGTTACGCCTCACTACTCCTTACGTAGCCGACCTCGTCGTTTGAAGCCGGCGTCCACTTCTGCAACAGCGCCACAGCCTCAATGTAGAAGTTTAGGGCTTAGGGCTTTGCAGGCTATAGAGTTTGGGGTGTGGGGTTAAGGCCTGGGGGTGTAGAGTTCAGAACTAGAGCTGACGTGGTGAAATAAGTTGATATGAGGCCTCTGGAGGACTGACAGCACTTCCTTGGGTGACACAGCGGTCCTTACGCAAGGCTCCTCCTACTACTAGCATGGGCACTAGTACTATCAGTACTACTCGTATTACTACCACTACTAATGTAGACCCGTGATTAGTAAACCCCCTCATTTTAAGGGGCTTACTATCCCTGCTAAGGGGAGGGGACTTATTAATCACAGGTCTTCTCTGCGCTACAAGCAACTGGGCGCCACGCCTGATCCACAAGCTTGCGTGCTTCTTCGCCGTCCTGCTCGAAACTTTACTGCAGGGGCCTACATGGGGGTGTCCCAAGAATATGCGTTCCACAGTAGGGACTATAGTATTTTGGGGTCTATGTTGGTGTCCCCCTATAGGGAAGCTCCCACATACTTAGAAGAGGAACAATCAAATTGAAAAGAGCATGGAAAACAAAGATTTGCATTGGGCGTGTTAATGTAGGGGCCTGAATTAGAACAAGAATTTGTGGCATGTCATACTATACTTGTGGATTACAAGGTGGTAATCTTGGAGCTTACTCAGCTTCCACATTAGGCTTTGCGGTGGACGGCTCATACAACAGTGAGATGGGCACCACCACCTTAACAAACAATCCAAATAAGCGGCATTGATCAGGTTGGTGGCTGTAGAAACCTTGTCAGCATCGTGAAGTCAATGCGGTAAACCCTAAACCCTACACCCTAGACCCTAAATCCTAAACGTAAAATCCTAAAACCTGAACCCTAGCTTGCCAGAACCCTCCCTGTCCTTCGCCTTCGGCATGCTCATGATGGCCACCATGATGTCCACTTCGTTTCCCTGTGGTAGCTAGGCTTCCCTACCAATGCGAAGTTTGGCAGGGACATGTGAGCCGCTGTCTAACTTCCTAGTATCCCCCTTAATAACCCATATAATAGTCGCCGAAACGATCCTCTAAACAACACCCTTCAAGGAAATTAGAGTATGGCTCATGTCAGAATTCTAGACGGACAAGGGGAGGTCCTACACTTGATATGTCCATTCACTAGGTCAGCCTGCAAAGGTTGTCCTACCTTGTGAGGATAGAGAAGAAGACTTGAACGCGGCTCCCATAAAAAATGATAACAGTAGCAATCCTAATAATGATTTCGTAGTATTAAAAATGAGTAACAATGCTAACAATAGTACTAATAGCGGAAATCCGAAAGCACAATGACTTCGTAAATGTGCTGAGATAGGAAGCTGGGTAATCACACCCTCAAAAACTTAGGCATGTCTAAATGCAAAGTTTCAAAAATGAACTTACATGAGCTCTGGACAAAACATACACGCTTCTAGACTCTGCATGTAGTGTCCTTGAACAGGCAAGGTTTGAGGATCCCTGAAGGAGTAGGGTGGAAGCCGCAGGTAGCTAGTACCATTCATTACCATTCTGGGAGTCCCCAGAATTAATTACCGAGGGGTTTGGTATTTTGGGTCTATATTGAGGTCCCCTATTTAGGAAAACGGCCATTTAGGGTTTTACCGTTTTAGTGAGACCAACTGCGTCCCACCCATTGGACCGAACCCCCAGGCCAAGCCAAGTGCGGGCTGATCAAGAAGTGCCTAGAAGCATCCACATATGAGATGGAGGTGTCTCAGGGCCGCTAGAGATATGTAGGAATTTTAAAGGGAGTATGGGGTCCCTAAAAAAAGTTGCTAGGGGTAACCTGCAGAATTTTCTACACCAGGATCCTAGTCTCATCCCAAGAAAGCCGACAAAGCAGCGGCCTAAACCCTAAACCTTAAGCCCTAAGCCCTACAAACCTAAACCTCTAGCTTTGGAGAGTTTGCACACATCTGCGAAGGTCCTGGAGGTCACTCGGATCCGTAACTTCCGGCGCGCCTTGGTGGAGTTTGCGGCTCTGCAGATGGACAAACTCCTGCTATACAATACCTGCAGGTGTAGGGTTTAGGGTGTTTAGGGTTCAGGGTGTTTAGGGTGTTTAGTTTTCAGGGTTTAGGGGGTTTGGGGTTGGGTTTTGGGGCCAAATCCAAACACTAGCAAAGCGCAAAGCCTGAAGCTACACAGGGCATCATTGACCCAGGTCGGGTGAGGTCGCTACATGTTAGCATAGTTTGGCCAGCTTACAAACATTCTGCAAAATCTGGTCAATAGCAGATTAATTGCTGATAAAGATGGACAAAAGACAACTATAGGGAATGCCTTATGCTTCTACTACGGGAGACTGCGCAGTAATCCTGACTCCTCGAAATCAGAAATGCGTGTCGGCGCTCAGGATTTAAAGGCCATGGCCCGAAAACACCAATAAATACCCCAGTGTCCAGAATTGGGGTAGTTTAGGAACTAGGGTATAGGGTTTAGGCATTCGCCCTGTAAGGCGTAGAATTGGTAAAAGCATATGAAAAGTCACAGGCGGGATTGCTGTTAAGCCCCCCGATTCCTTCCCACTGAAGTACTTCATGTGGGGAAGCGGATTGGAGGGTTTTGGGTTGCGGCTTGTCACCCAAACGCTCCAACGAGAAACGTCCTTAGGTTGGGATGCCCAGGAGCGGCCTCCCAATTTTTTGGAGACCCTCAACGCCCCAAACCCTTAAACATACACATCCGTATGCAATCCCTATACAAACCTTATATACATGTTTGGGAGGAACTCTAAACCCTAAACCCTAAATCCTGTTTTTTTTGGAAAAACCACCCCCAAATCGCTGTGTTTGAGGACTCCGCCTTTCTTGTCTTTTGCGGCAGGTACCTGATCCAGCCGCTAGGGTCCTAGGGTTTTAGGGTGTAGGGTTTTAGTGGTTTTAGGGTTTTAGTGGTTTTAGTGGTTTTAGGGTTTAGGGGTTTAAGGGTTTAGGGGTTTTAGGGTTTAGGGGTTTAAGGGTTTAGGGTTTTTAGGGGTTTTAGGGTTTAGGGGTGAGGCTTTACCTGATGGTGCTACTAGGGAAGTCTAGGGATTGTTCAGGGATAGTTGAAACGGTAGTTGAAACGGTCTACCGGGATTCTAGGAGATAAACGGGGTAGGGTGTAGGCGCCAAAATAATTAGAGGAATGGAAAGTCAAATGGAGAAGAAGATAGACGACGAAACGTAAGCAGGGTTTACATAGGGGTTCTTGGCGATGGCACTGTAGAGGCCTACTTGATTCTAGCAGGGTTTTGGGACCTTTTATGCTAGAGTTCTGTGAGGGTTCAAAGCGGACAGTATCGGTGGCTCTCTTCAGGCTTCCTCATTACTGACGGACGTCTGAGAGGGAGTGGAGCAGTGTGTTCAAGTTCTATCCTGAAGGTGTTTAGAGGGAGCATACAATGATAATTGGAGGGGTTCACTCCCTTGCTCCAAATCAATTGGACAGGTTGTGTGGGTCTCCATATGAGTAGTGTTCATTTTGGTGGTTAAACCCAGTAAGATTATATTCCTTATATAAAGTACCATACCCCAAAAGGAGGATATAATCTTACTCTATATTGGGTACCATAGTATGCCCAAATGAAATACTACTCAACTGTGACAAGTGAAGACTGCTGGGAAGCCCAGCAGCCAACCATAGTCCCACAGTCCCCCTTAGGTAGATAAAATATGGCTGCGGGCATATCATAATAAGATCCCCATATATTCCATATTCTATCTACTTAAGGGGGACTGTACTCTTTTGCGTGCTTCGTAGTGGTTTCTGCATTTGCGCTTGGACGCTCAATTTACAGTTCGGCTACCCTGTCGTTGTCGTGCCATTGAAGGATGGCTGGCCCCTCAGAAAATATCCGCCTGACAGCTCCTAGACATGAAGATCACAGAAAGCTTTGGGGTCCGCGGGGCACTTGTGCGAAGGACCCACAAAGCCTTGTTACACCTAATCAAGGCCTGGATGAACCCTAATTTGATCAGACCCTGGTTTTCGGTACAAGGCTAGCTTTAACCGCCTTACACACCCATGGATTACACACCCATGGACCTGACAACTCAAACTCCCAAAGTTGTCTGACTACAGCAGCCTGGATTATGCAATCACACATCCTGCCCTTCCATTGTCCAGTTCAATTAAGATTGCTTACGGTCTCCCAAGCGTAGCCCTGTTATCTTCCCCTATCGTGTTTCAGACCCACGCAGCAAAGAATAAAAAGAACCCTCACACAAACACCATTTTCCTTGCGGTCTCTCTCTTCATCTAATTGTGAGGTGTGGAGATCACCTCAATGCTTAACTGTTCTATGAATCATTTGGTACTCTTCTGCCTCAAAAACCGTCCTGTTGAGCTCCCCAGAATACACTTCGAAATATTTTAGGAAGCCCAGAGAACGAAGTGTGCCTAAGCAGCTAAATGAATCTCTTAACCAAGACCCTCCCGCCAACTCCTTCCGCTAAAAGCCTGACTACCCACATACAAAAACCTAAGCCCCAAACCCCTACAAAATCCTGAATTTAAGGGTGCTTGGATCCCTCATGCCCTGAACCCTTACACCCTGAATCCCTCAAGTCTAAACCCCTATACTCTACAAACAAATACCCGAGGGATCCAAGCACACAGAAAATACCTACAGCGGGCCCTAAACCCTAAAGCCTACGTAAACCCTACATCGGGCTGTGGGGTTCTAGGGATTTCTGCTAAATGAGTACCGGAACAGATTCAGCCAGAGAACACTCTCTAAAAAATACTTTGTGGTTAGTAGGGAATAAGGGAATATAATCCTTATACACTCCCTATATCTATATATATATATATCTATATATTTTATAATACACACATTTTCCCCACCATTATTGCTACTATTCTTACTACTATCACTACTATATGAGCATTCTATTCCCTTATTACCTACTAACTGGGTTGGTCCCTAAAACCCTTTGAAAAATATTAGTATATAGGGTCCCTTATCAAATCCATTAGGGAAATATTAAATATCCCAGGGGCCTACCCAGCTAACCCCCCCTAAAGAAAAGAGAAAAACCAGCAGGAGGCACAGCTTCGAGCCGAGCAGGCCGCAGCTTGGCAACGTCCGGCAATGGCGTGTCGTTCTCCTGGCCACGGCGGGTCAGGGCTTAGGAGGGTTTTAAGGGGGTTAGGGTTTTGGGGTGTAGGGTTTTAGGGTGTAGGAGGGTTTAGGGGGTTAGGGTTTTAGGGTGTAGGGTTTTAGGGTGTAGGAGGGTTTAGGGGGTTAGGGTTTTAGGGTGTAGGGTTTTGGGGTCTAGGGCTTCGGGTTTGGGGATGTTGCAACAGCACCTTCAACCCCAAACTTCCTGGCGACTGTAACGTTTAGTGTGCTAATTGCAGGGATTTGGAGGACTCAGGGTGGTGCAGGATTTCTTCCATCAACAGCACCGCAGATGAACATAATATCTGATAGCAGCAAGTTTGAAAACCAGAAGCAACACCCAACTTGCGCTGTGCGCGTTAAACATGACTGGCTGCCGCGCTGCTGATGGGTGTGAGTCGTTAAGTGATGCCTGTCACCGCTACTAAGTCTTTACGCCTGAGGACCGGAAGTCATATGATCACATTGATGGCATCATGGTTGTTATCCGTACTAGACATGCATAATGCGTAATATTGCAATGATTCCTATGGCTTGCATCGTTTTTGCCTCAACGCCCCTATGCACCCCCCGCCCCCCGTGCCTTCGCGATACGTTGTTCGTTGTGGATTTGTGTTCTTACGACAAGAAGTAGGTTATGTACTGCTCAAGAAGAAGCTACATGGAAAACTCTGGTTGAAGTGGGTTGCATTCCCATCATTATCGGCCTTACCACCTTGAACCCCAAACCCTAAACCCTAAAGCCCATATAAACTGACCATTACTTTGGGTTCCCAAATTTCCTTTCAAATTTCAAAACCAAAAATCCGCCCCCAAGCCCTCAGTAATGGTACTAAACCCTAAAACCCTAAACCCTAAACCCTAAAACCCTTAACCCTGAACCCTAAACCTTTCTGGGGCTCTGGAGCTCCTTGCAAAGCATGGCCACCCTGGCCAGGATATCCTTGCGCTCGCGCGGACCGAGCCGCTTCCTTGACGTAGGGATTGTGGCAACCCCAACCCCGACCCTAATATATATATATATATATATAAATACATATACATATACATTTATACATATGCAGATACAAACATATATATATATATATGCATATGCATACATATATATATATATATTCATGGCGTTATTTGGGGGGTAGAGGTTACCAGAAACTAGGTAGTATCTCCTGCCAGCAGATTTCGAATTCCAAGGACTCCCGTGTTGAGACATCCCCAGGAACACAATACCAAAGAAAAAGCCGGAAACGTGCACCGTGCTGTGTCTGGAGGAGTGGTCATTGTGGATGTTACTTACTACCATCACAACGGTGCTGTAGTCATTGCCTTTGCCATTCTGAGTGAACTATGGCAAATCTTAAGCCCTAAATCGTAGTTTCCATTCTCTTTTCCATTACCCCTATATAGCCCCTATATAATCCCTATAATCCCGATCTAACGCATTCTAGTAGTTTCCATTTTCTGTTCCATTACGCTTATATAGCCCCTATAGAATCCCTATAATCCCTATCTAACCCATTTTAGCAGTTTCCATCTTCTTTTCCATTATCCTTTTGTTGCCCCTATAGAATCCCTATAAAAACATGTTCATCCAAGCTACACCACGGTCAGCTCATCCGTCTGAAGGACCGTGAGGTTGCCCACCTCAAGTTTCTCCATGGAAGCTACTATATAGATATTGGTTAGGTGGACCCCCCACCCAGTAATAGTGACCATCCTGGATAATGAGGATTATGTAAGGGTCCTCCTATATTCCTTTTATACCACTATTACAGGGTGGGGGGTCCTCCTAAGATATTGGGGCTATATATGGGGATAATGGAAAAGAAAATGGAAACTTTTATACTGGGCTAACATAGGGATTATTAAGTATAATATTAGGGTTCTATAGGGACAATGGAAACGAACATGGAAAGGATCCATCCATCTGGAGGTTTTCTGGTCGGAGTTCTTTGAGGTTGGGCTTCGCCTTGATATTTTGAGAGAAACGTGTAGGATTCCAATAGGGTGCCCATCCATTATTGCGGTCTACACAATAAGACTAGGGATGGCTGGGAGAATGGAGCGTCCTCCTGCGCAAGCCTTTCGAGCTCGGCCGCTAAAACCAAGGAGGACTTGTTGAGCTTCTCTACAAGGAAGGGCCCAAAATAGTTTCCCTAGAGGGGGGGCCCCAATATAGACCTCAAAATGCTAAAATACCCCTAATTTTGGGAACCCCCCCAAGTAACTCTGAAGAATCTGCTCTTTCGGATCCCGGTCACAGCCACGTTCGCGTTGATGTGGGCAAGCGTGAGGCCGGCAGCAAGTTCCGGCTTCATTTCACCTTAGGTTGCAAGTTGCCTTTTCCTATAGTCCCCCTTAAGTAGATAGAATATGGGGTATATGGGGATCTTATTATAATGTACCCAAAGCCATATTCTATCTACTTAAGGGGGACTATAAGTTGACCCGAAAGCTTTAGCAGTGTTTGGACCCCCGAACTATGTAAAACTCAAGCCTTGTTCAACATTGTTTAAAGGCTTTGGCCAGTATTTACTTACTTTGCCGGTAGGAGTATGGTTTATAACTAAAGAATAAGGGGTTGCAAGGACATCGGCTGCAGGGTTTTGCTGTAAAGTCTCACGCACCACTGCCAGGCTACTCACGTTTCATATTGCTGGCCCTTAAGACAAGGGTAAAAGGATTTAGGGGTTGGAGGGAAGAGGGCCGATCCACCCTAAGTTGCTTTCAACTCAATCTTGAATCAAAGCTATGAAGTTCACCTCCCCCTCAGGAGATACCCAGTCTTCATGCGAAGTCTATGATACTGAACACTGGATTTGTTTTTTGGTAGGTGCTTTGATGAGTAGAGGGCACGGGCCTGTGCTTTGGAGCTGCAAGGTTAAGGACTTTAGGGTTTAGGGTCTAGAGTTTAGGGTTTAGGGTAAGGAAACAAAGGAATGGGTGATAGGGACTACTAGAATGAATGCCAGCGACGACTTAAGGATCCATTCCTCCAGCCCCTACTAACCAAACACCGACCTCGTCCCTGAAAACTCTACAAGGAAGCATGGCAATTATCTGAATTATCTTGGTGTCCCCTTATACGCCTGTTAACCCCTACACCCTCATCCCTAAACCCTGAACCCTAAATAGTAATTTCAATGTTCTTTTCCATTATCCCTATATCATCCCTATATAATCTCTATAATCCCTATATAACCCTAAATAGTAGTTTCTCTTCTCTTTTTCACTATCCCTAAATCATCCCTATATGACCCCTATTTGCCACGACTTCAGCCCTACCTCTACCTTAAAGCAGACCAGCTGCTATCCGGCAAAGCCGTCGGACCCGTGAGATACTTTTGGATCTCCTGGAGGGCCGCCCGGTACTCCTGCGGAGCGCGCTTTTGGTTTACGTGATTTATGTACACTCCCCCAAACTAACATGGAAACCCATATAGCCCCCTTTTTGAAGGACTGTAGCCTTTATAGGGCCCTTTTGGGTTTCCATGTTAGTTTCCGGGAGTGTATATCATTCATTTAGTAGTGGTAAGAATAGTCTACCCTGTATAACCCCAAGCCCCGACGGCTTTTCTTTTGCCTTGGTCCCCTTAAGGGATGCTATGCTCTGCCGACCTCAGCAGGGTGCTGGATTGTCAAAGGAGACGGGAAATCTGTCTTTTCGGGGGTCCGTTGGTCTTGGTTAAAATTTCAGGGTTTTGACGATGTGTGATGGACGCAGGAACGTGAACGTTCTTGTATGATGTTTGCGTAAGTTGCGTTCACGCGAGATTTTTCGGCCGCCCCGACCCCCCCCCCGCCCTAGGGTTGGGTGTGAAGGGGTCCTGCAAACATAGACGCCCGATGGTTGTGTGCATGTGAAAATTTGTGTTTGGAAAGGTGGCCGTATGGCACTGTCGGAATTCATTCAACGCTCTACCCCTAAGCCTCCAAACGCACTGCCCGAAACATCCTGCAACCCTGGGCACCTAAAAAACGGAGGTGCGAGCTTCCCAAATCAGGAACCGCATAGTCTACTTATGATAACCCAGACCCCTCATGAATAAAACCCCTCCCCTGACTAGGAATTGTAATGGGGATCCTAAGATTTAGGCCCTTGAAAGGAGGGGGTTTATGCATCATGGGAAAATCCGATCTGTGGATGCGAAGCAAGGGAGAGCATTGTAAAGAGGGTTCATTAACCATTTTATCCTAAAGTCCCCAAGGGCCTTCACCCTAAACCCTGAAACCCATGTTATCCTCAAGTCCCCAAGGGTCGCAACCATAAACCCTAAACCCTAAACCCCTAAACTCTTGAGAAGTCCCCTTGTTGCCTGCAAAGTGCGCTTCAGCAACTTTGGCTCCTCGTGACCTGACTTGAGTTTTAATTAACGGTTAGACTTTAAGGTTTAGGGTGTTTGGGTTTAGGGTATAAGGTTTTTTTCCCAGAGTTAGGGGTACCCTTTTTTTCCTTTTTGGGGAACCTATGATAAGGATTATAGTATATTGGGGGTCATATAGGGGTACACTAATTTGGGGAAGCTTCCCAGAATTGGGGGTATCATTGTGGGGTCTTCAGAATAAGGATTCTACGGTAGTATATTGGGGTCTATATTTGGGTGCTCTAATTTCAGGAAAGTCCCTTTAAGGCCTTTCCAAGACTTCGGGATTCCAGTTGGCAGTCCCCGCAGGAAGGATTATGGAAAATGCGCATGTTGTTGGCTGAGGGTTCAAGGCTAAATTCGTTTAGGCCTGAAGGCGTGGGACGTCATCCTCAAAAGTCCGGGATTGGGAGCTCCTTCACAAAGAACTGGCAGCACCCCTACAGCCAGGCAGTACATCAAGTATGCAGAAGATAGGACCGAGGTTGGGATGCGGAGTGACGTGTGAGTGACCGCACTGAATGTTCACAAGCATCATGTCAAGGTTCCAGTTGGGGTCGGTCAACGTGATAGCCACAAGAAAAGAAACACGCTTGGTACAGGCCATCTTCCCACAAACCCCAAGAGTTACCACTCAAATTTGAAAACCGTATGGTAAATCCCTTGAATGGGGACGCTTATATTTCCCCAAATACTATATCTATATCCCTTACCATAGGAACACCCAAAAAAAATCCGCTGATTTAATTACTCGAATCCCGAAACCCTAATCCCTACATCCTAATCTCTGAACACGAATCCCTAAACCCTATGCCTCCATAATATCCACATAAATGCAAAGGCCTGACACGAAAAATCCATGCTTGCGAGAAGCTGTACCATATCATGTCCAAGTGCAAATTCCAGAAATGTACCTGGCTTAGGGACTTAAAGCACATGGATGACTGCAAATCGCTCAGGGGGATTAGGGCTTTGGATTTCAGCACTTCAGCATTCTGGGATTGAAGGGACTGACGATAGCTTCAACTGGGCTTTGAAACTCAGTTTCAAGCAGGGCGAACTCTATATTATAAGTGAATTTGAGGGTTTGAGGCTTATGGTTTCATAGTCTCATAGCCCAGTGCCCAACTCGGACTACAAGGGTTTGCTCAGTGGGCAGGGAATGCAGCAAAGTATTTCTTCCCGCCCGTAAATGTCAGGACAACTACCAGAGCTCCAAACTGGAACCTCTGTGAGCCTTGCTTCTTTTGGTGGTAGAACTGAAGGGGAAACTCCGTCTTGAGAGCACTGTGGAAAGATCAGACTTCGGCGACTTCCTGGCGTTTGTTTAAGAAACATCCGGCTGCCTGCTTCCGCACATCCATCGATGTCATCTACGCTCCGGATCACTAACGCATCATGGAGACCAATCACATCCAAAGTCCCAAGACCATAGCCAGGCCCCTCGTTTCTGGGAACCCCTCGAAGGCGTCTAGCAACTACAACTGTGGCCCACTCCGCCTGAACCTTGAACCTTCGACCCTAGAACTTTAAGGCCTACACCCTTAACCCTTAACCTTCAACACCTTGACCCAAGAGCACCCTGAACAGCCAACGCTCCAACCGGCAAACCTCCGTCAAAAGGGGCACCAGACCGTTGGCCACCATCCAGTACTGCCCGAACTCTTGGCTCTTCGCCAACCCGAATAGGATGCTCCTGGCTAGGCACATGGACTATATTGCTAGTACTATTATTGCCACCTCTATTCTTAGTAATTATGGTACGAGTAGTAAGGAATAAGGCAATACATCATATGGGGTGAAAAAAGGGTTACTCACAAAAACCTCTTGGAAGCTATACCAACAGACTTGTGCACACGTGTCAGCGTGTTTTGAACATCCATTGGTTCGGAACCTACCTAGTTCCTCTTGATTCTTATTGTTTGAACGGACTGTTTTTGAACTCCTTGGGCTTCCTTTACCATGGCAGATTTACAAACACCAAAGTGTCTATCATGAACGGGGCAGCTGCGAACCACACTGCCAGGTCTTCATATGAAAATCCTGCGTGACCTTAACATACTACAGTACCATAGTTCCCAAGGCATACTGTGAAGTACTGAGGAATATGCAGGATTTTCAGTATCCACTGCAGTGCTGTCACTACCACTATCACCATGCTGAATCATCAGCGAGCTGCTCTTGACAGTACTAGCAGCAGCAAGAGCCAAAAGAAGCCAAATCCTACCAACGATCATGGGGATTCATCACCCTGGCGGCGCATACCCTTTTACATCATCACCCATAATTTTGACTAACTGGGCTTTTCACGCTTCATCAATCCAGTTTCAAGGGCCCCCTTGATGATTCCTCCCAGTGATCTTGTGTACTGAAGCCCCATAAACCTAGCACCCTAAAAGCTAAAGCCCAATCCCTCAACCCTAAACCCTAAACTGCAATCCCTGAAGCCTCAACGTCGTAAACCCTACAGTCAGCCCTAAGACCCAAGCCCGAACCCTGAACCCCAAACCCTAATCCCTGAAACCTAAACCCTACATCCTAAGCCCTCAACCCCAGCCCCAAACCCACAAACCCACAAACCCTAAACCCTATATCCTAAACCCTAAATCTTATATCCTAAACCCTGAACCCCTAAGCCCTAAACCCTCAACAACCCTAAGCAGCGCTGAAAGCAAGACCATGCCCAAGCTCAGCTTGAATCCCGTGAAAGGCGGTTAGGGTTTTGCTTTCAGGGCTTAGGATTTAGCGTTTAGGATTTAGGGTTCAGAGTTTCGGGTTATAGGGTGGTGTTATGTAGGCGTTCTGTAGGGTTGCCCGGATTTTATAGGCAGCATATGGAAGGTATACAGCAGTCACATATACATACATGTAAATGGCGCGGAGGGCTTAGGCACCGAAGTATGTATGTATGTATTTACATACATGGGAGTTTTATTCGGTTTCCACCATGGAGAAAGCATGTTAAATTCCTACATATCCACATCATGGCAACTTGACTTAAGTTCCTCAACAACAACCCTGCCTAATCATTTCTCGCTTCGTCTCCGTGATGGCTGCTTTCTCCTGGAACAGGGCAGGGCTGCCCACTACGTAGGAGCCGAACATGTTTGGGTTATGGCTTTATGAGGGTACAGGTAGGGTTTAGAGGTATTGGGGGTCTAAGGTGTAGGTTTTGGACTATATTGAAAGTAACATGCCAGGACCAAAGGAAGATCCTCCTGGTTGTGTGAGGGTTTGGGCTCTTACGGTACCACGGCTGCACTTGCTTGCTCGAACTTAAGGAAGCTCTGAGAAGACACCATGCTAGAGGGACTTTACGGGAACCCCAAACAGGGAACCCCAAGAATATAATAGGAATATAATGGAATATTGTATGAGGTCCCTGGTAAGTATATTCCTCTTATATTTCTACAATATTCTTGGGGTTCCCTGTTTGGGGTTCCCAATCAAGTCCCTTCACATGCAAGGGGTCCCTGCATTTAGAACCTTCGGGAGATTTTGGAAAACGTCTGGAATCCCTCAGCAACATCGATATCATGAAGCAAGTGCAGGGTTCACCCCCAGTCCCCCTAAATATGGGGATATCATGGGGGTACAGGGGATGTATAGGAATAATGGAAGAGAAAATGGAAACTACTGTTTAAGGCCTAGGGCTCAAGAAAACCAAGGTTATGGAAATAACGTGCCTCTGACGTCAAAGCCCTTAAACTTCATCAGCTAAAGCAAGTTCTGAAACGGGTCCTCGGGCGTCAACTCCCGAAACTGCTCCTGCCATTCAATCAAGGACAAGGGATCCCTAATTGCGGCATGATACCCATTAAAGTATCTACTACGTCAACGGCTAGGTTGCTGTTGAGGTCTTTTCACTAGAAATTGCAGGCATGTGGAAAGCTCACTGTTCACCGTAATTATATCTGTATTCTGCTTTCTTTAATAATTCAGTCTCCCTAGCAACAACCCAAACGGGGTATGATACGCTTCGATATAAACATCCCGTGAACTCATGCCAAGTGTAGGAGCTATCACCGTCCCACCAACACGACGGCTCCGAAGCCTGAACATCCCCATTGCTGACGGAATGCTCGTCATGGCATGGGCATGGCATGTTACAGCCGGCAGGCATCGATCCCGATGCAAACCTCGCTCAAGCCCCATTCTGATTGATGAGCTCTCTAGCGCAAAACGCTGGCACTTTGAAGATCCTCGCTTTCACTGCCGTCGTCTGGAATCTCTTCCACAGGCTCCTGGCCAAATTTGCAACATGTTAGCATTATTGTTTGGAGTGGAAGGTTTGGGGCTTAAGAGTCTAGGGTGGAACATCTGGGGTCATACAGCGAACTTCAAAGTGTGTCCAAAGTGAGAGCTAAATATGGCGCAACAGATGTACCTGCGGCGCCCACCGACCCATGAATCCACCCTTTTTTTTGCAGGAGCCGCACAAACAAATGAATATTGGTGAGCACATGTGGCTTGGAATTGCTTTCAGCCTCACAAACAGCAAGTACCCTCTAACAACCCGCGGAGTTTTCTTCTGAAATGGAATTAGTTTCGCACCATATTTTTAGCAAGAGCACAGGACGTTCTAGCAGCGTGATACGTAACTTGAACCAGGGACCCAGTTTCATTTGTTTACTACAAGAAGTCAGGGATGCTGCTGGATGCGCGGAAGTCGGGTTGAATGCGATCAGTTTTTACCTAGGCTTTATAATCATAGCACCCAGGACAAGCCCTAAACCCTGAACCCTGTTCCACTTGGGCCTAGTTAGTTTTCAACTCTTTTTGCTACAGCCTCACGAACCTTCCTGCAATGAGCCAAGATCGACCTGAATTTGGAAAAAAAAATATTCCAGACGGTCCATACCCAGAGGGTCCATGTACCCAATAATTAGGTACTTGGGATTTGGGTAATAGTATCTATAGTACAGGTTTTGGGTAGGTATATGATTATTGGGTACTTGGACCCTTAGGGATATACAACAATGTACCTTCCAAGAACGGGCCGGAATTCTTGTGGATTTGTATTTGTTTGCAATTAAGCTCAGAATAAGACCAAGATCAACAACCTTCCAGGAACGCACGAGTATAGACTTACGAGCCATACGCACATTTGTGGAAGTCCACATGGCCCGTTCTAAGGTCTAAAACATCCGGCTAAGTCTTATACAGAAGAAAGGACCATCCAAACATGCCTGAAATCCATGAGGAAGTTCATTAAAGCATTTTCATAGTTCATGAAGTTGTTCTGTAGAATCAAGGACCAACCAGGAATGGATCGAATTCTCACGGAAGTTGATTCAGTTTGAATGATCGGGATCGGAGTGCTTTTAAAGTTTGGGATGCAACAAAAAAGGCACTTCTCGACGTTTCCGACTTCGGGGAAGCCAGTGTGCTGAGATTGGATGCCCCAACACGAGGAAGCCAAAACATCGGGACCTCTTGTGATCTTCTCCAGGCGAGGGGGCTTAAGAACAAGGTTGATATTGGGGATAACTAGGACTATCATATGAGTAGCGCTTGTTTTTGGTGGTTGAACCTAGTAAGATAATAATTCCTTATATAAAGATACTATACCCAAAAGGAGGATATAGTCTTACTCTATATTGGGTACCATAGTATCCCCAAGTAAAATACTACTCATATGACTTATGTGGCGTCTGACCCTCCCTCTCCAAGTTGTGGCGTGTGGACAAGCAAAAATGTTGCCAGGACACCCCTAAACCCTAAACCCTAAACCCAACCTATAGAACCAATGGTTAGGACCCTGAGCCCCTGGGGTGAGTGGGGGCCAGGAAATCTGCATTTGTTGGACGTTCGGGGCACTCATGTTCTTGCATGCAAACCCAAGAACCGTGGATCTCTCACGGTCTTGTGGTTGTGGGGGAGCAAGAGTGGGCGAGGTCTCCATATCTTGAGGGTAGCCAATAAACTTTGTGACCTCTTAGGGCCTTAGGGGCTTTGAGAGGGTGGGATAGCAATACTATGACCAGCAGTCATCAAAGAGAGGTGAGCGCCGGCTTACCCTAAGGGTCCAAGTACCCAATAATCATATACCTACCCAAAACCTGTACTATAGATACTATTACCCAAATCCCAAGTACCTAGTTATTGGGTACATGGACCCTCTGGGTTATATGTGGCATGCATAATCCACGGCCAATCATCCCGCTCGGCTTGTATTTAATCTTGTGTTCTACCTTGACAAAAAATCGCTGATCCGGTTCGCCATGTTGGAGTAAACGTTCTGCTCTTACTGCAGAAGTAACTTGGGCTTATCTTTTTCCAACTCTTTCAATCCATGGCCGTTATCCAGTTCCCAGCGGAATGCCGAACCGAGATGCAAAATGCCAACGCGTTTGAGCTATAGTCGCAAGTCCTAGTATCCCCCCTAAATAACTCTTATAAAAGTCTCGTATATAACCCCCCGCCCAGGACTTTGCATTATAGCTCATATACATAAGATGGGTAATCCAGAAGTGGCGAGCTTGGAGCCTTTTGTCCGTTGTGAACATACATTCATCTAAGGGTTTAGGGTCTAGGGTTCTACTTGGTTTTGTTGCCCTGCACTTTAAACCTCTTCAACTCGGATTCGACCTTGAGCCACAAGATCCACAAAACAACTTTGTCCCTCCACATCCCCGCAAGATCTACCCGTACCATCTCAACGAGACCAAGCACAGACTTCCAAGAAGAATATACGTTTGAGACATGGAATCCGCGCGACCTCCTTCTCTTCAGGGATCTCTTCGTCGATGCCATTCCTTGGGGGCCAGGGTTCTGGATGTGGCATGGCGCGTTCTTTAGAATTCACGATCCGCCTTCAGATTACACGTGCTGTTTGAAGAGCAGCATTGCTTGGCAGGACCCAGGTGCAAAAACGCACATCCGTTGATGTTCTTTGAGCTTCTAACTGGGCGTTTCTGCTCAAGCGAGGGGGAGGAGGCGGAGTTCATCCTGGCCCTGATTCTCAATCTAATCATTTGTCGGGTCGTACCATGCAAACAAGACGCACACGAGACACACGCGTGAATTCTCCCAGGAATATCCTGAAATCATAGCTTCATGCCCTGCCTGCATTTCTGGTCTCGAAGCTTTACCAAGATCCTACTTGTAGTGATCTCGTGCGACAAGTTGTACAACTCAACCCATCCTCAGGGGTTCCCCAAACCCTCGTGGGTTCCCTAAAGGGACTGTCATGGGAACCCCGAAATTGAAGGACCCACGAGAGCCTAGTAGGAATTAGTAGACTATGAGGATCCTGGTAGGTATACTCCCGTATATTCCCACTACATTCTTGGGGTTCCCAAAGTAGCTTATACCTTGAACACCAGGACATGAAACATTAGCATTCTGGGCTTCTCCTATACTGCCGCTATAGTTGCTGGCCAGGCTAATTTAGCAGCTGCCCACAAAAATTCAATAACGAGTCTGTTGCCCGTCGTGCATCTTCTGATCATCTTCAAATTCCGTGTTCTTGTAAACCACATGTACGAGTCCCCAGTATCTTTCTCACACGATGCCCAGTCACAACCTGTGCCTCCCGGCCTCCCGCTTCTGCTGGCTAGTTCACTGTGAGTCGCGGGTCAGCCCTCTCTTCGAGACCCTGATGGGCCCTACTTGATAAGGAGATGCACAAAAAACCCTCTTGACTGCTATCTTATTGAAGCTTGCACACGGAAGCCCAATGCCAGGACCTACACGCCCCGAAGCGTTCTCATTGAGTTTAGGTGTCAGCAATCGGGAAGGGCGCGTAAAGTGGGGCATATTCTGTCATACAACCGTATATCCCCTAAACTCTAACCAGAGGGACTCAGTTTGCTGAGCTCGGGCATGCCAAAAATCGTGCCAATTTTGTTTCTGAAGGGAGGGTCTTCATGACAACTCCCAAACCGTCTCGCATAAATGCAACCCTCAAATCTCAACACATCACTGTCTCAAACCTTAAACCCTAAACCCTACACACAAAAGCCTGTTGGACGTCCAATTGGCTGACACTCCTGAAGCCTTTATTGCTGGGCATAAGTGCGCCCCTGAAAATTCAGAAGCAGCTATTGCAACCTGGGAGCAGAAGCCCCAAATCCTCGACATCCCAAGACCTGGATCGTCATTGATCTACGCAGCTTAGGGTTTAGGGTTTAGGGTTTAGGGGCTTTATGTTTAAATGGTCCCTGATCTATAAGTTGCGCCGTTCAGAGGTTTGGGGCATTCAAAGGGTTTCGAAGGTTAAAAGCCGTAGACTCTACACCCTGAGGGCGCAAGGCTTATGGTGTCGGGTTTCTGATTTGCGGCAGGCATTTCCCAGTTATCATGTAAACACCCCCATGCCTACAGTGTACAAGTCCAAAGCTTATCAATATTCTGTTCTCAGGTTGCTTGGATAATGAACCTCAAATTCTATAACCCTATATACCCTAACTTACTATTATGTAGCTTCCATTTTCTCTTCCATTATCCCTATATAACCATATAATCCCTATAATTTCTCTAACTATTAGAGCTTTTTGTTTTTTACTTAGGCCCCTACAGATTCGTGCAGTATGTTCCCCGCAATCGGTTCAATCTCAGCGCTAAAGAGTCCATGGGAGAACTGGGGGGGGGGGGAACCTCAATCACGAGGCCCAAACCAATCAGGACGCCAGCGGGCTGCGGCTCGTTCAGGTTTGGGGTTTAAGGTTTAGGGGTTTAGGCCTCAGGTTTGGGGTTTAAGGTTGCCCTAGGGACCCAAGTATACAAATAATACCTACATTGTGCCCCGAAGACTGTAAATATTTCCTACATTGGTCTATTTGAATTTCTAGGGTTGCTATAAGGCGGAATGATGAGTCTGCTCCGCGAGTTAAATACGGCGGGATGATAAGTTTCAAGTTAATGTTGATGGGGACTTGCCCTAAACCCTAAACCCTCAACCCTTAATGTCAAACAGGCGCTCCCCCCACCCGAAGCCCTACCTGGACCCCAAAAGTATGTAGAACAATGGCCTTTTGGGCTAGTTTTAATGGCTTTGGGCTATTATTTTGCCTACCTTTTGGGGTCTAAGTAAACCCTAAGCCCCAAACCCCAATCCCTAAATCCTAAAACACCCTCTCGTATAGACCAAGGGACAAGCACAACGACTTGGTGTAGGCGCTGGAGGCCAGCAAAATGGCACCTTCAACTTCGATGGGTGCTGGCCCGAAGCTGAAGGCATCTACCTGAGGGTTTAGGGGTTTAGGGTTTAGGGGTTTGGGGTTTAGGGGTTTAGGGTTTAGAGTTTAGGGGTTTAGGGTTTGGGGGGATGGGGTCAGAGCCCTAAATGCTCAAGGTTTAGGATGTAAGGTTTTGGGCTTAAGGTTTGGGGTTTAGGGGGTTTAGTAACTTCAACCCCGCAAGACCTACAAGCAAAACTTAATGTTTGATGCTTAATCTAAATTATAGACTACAATAAAAGTGTAAAATGCTCCCTGAGGAGACGACAGGTAAGGGGTCATATACGGGTTACGCAGGGTATAGGAATTGGAAATTGGTTTGTTCGTTCCCGACTGGCCAGGGTTCAGGATTTGGAGCCCAGGGCTTAGGGCTAAGTTGCTATAATGCAGAATCAGGTGGAAACACACACTTAAACAATTGGAAACTTGTAGCGGGCCTTGGTGTGTAATGGAGAACACATGGAAAATGAACATGTAACATGACATGCGCAATAGGGATTCAAGGAACTGAAAATAAGCTACCACAAGCTGGATACACAGTACATGATTATGCGGTTGCATTAGCCCTAACTTAGTTGAAAGTCCTTTAAGAGCAACGCAGCTAAGAGTAAAGGTGGTTATCGCCAAAGGGGTTCTGCAGAACTGGGTCTACGAAGGCTTAATTGGGGGTAATTGGGGCTGAGGGCTTGTCCGTGATTTCTCAGCGTCCCTTGGGGTGTAGTGGGGAACGAAGCCATAAACGAACATTAAATCTCGAAGGGTATTATTGGTAAGCATAGGGCCCTTGGACCTCATAACAGCCACAATGAAACATTTTCAGCGTAGTCACTCTGCGCTCACTTTTGTTGGATTTAAAGATGACTTCCACAATTTTCTGGAGCTGGCTGTTGGTCGAGGAGAAGGTGCCCCATAAACCACATAAACAGACGTAAACCCTATGAACTAGATCAAGCACCCTGGGGATCCAAGTATACAAATAATACTTACATTTGGCCCCAAAATCTGTCAATATTACCTACATTGGGCTATTTGGATCCCTGGGGGCACCTATACCCCAAACCGGCTAGAGCCTCGAAACTGCTTTAAGCGTGTGGCCGCAGTAGCGATGGCTTTCGCGCAGACCTTCACAGCGAATTCGCCCTCCTCTGCTCGATAGGCCTCTCATGGGAGACCCCGTAGTCCCCCTTAGGCAGCTTTGGCCTAGGAGCTCTGAGGATTTAGGATTGGGATTTAGAATATTTAGAATTAGGGCTATAAGATCTAGGTTTGGATTTAAGGGCTGTGGCTTCATGAGTTTGCGGTGTTTAGATCTGTTGGGGGGTCTTCAGGGTGTAGCGCAATTCAACCCATAGCGCTTGAAAACCTGCACACCCCAATATCTTCAAACATGTCTACTGCTAGGCACGGTTTTCCCATGGCTGCTTAGTTGATCTGAATAAGTTCCTTTGGTAGATTTGAAACATGCCCGGCAGTATTACATCATAGTCGATCTGCCGTATGATCCACTGTACAGGTTGGGGTTGCCAAAAGCCTCTTACTCTCCAATTTCAATCCCTATAATATACACCCACAATACTTTCAACCTACCAGTAGTGAAGGCGGCCTACCAATAAAGGGGTAGCAAGAATGTATTCTCGACGGGCCAGAATATCATTTTTGCTTTGTAACAACGTAGGTCCACCGGCAATAAAAAATGGTGGCAAGAATAACAAAAGTTATTAATATCCGAAATATCCCGGTGCTTATAGCTTGTACTACTAGTGCTACAAGCTGCATTACCTTGTCCTACCCCTACCCCGCTGGTTTTATTTTTTGGGCCCCCCCCCCCCTTCCGTAGACCAAAAACGCAAAACAGATCTGGTTTTCTCTGGGTCAGGTTAGCGGCAATACCCCAGTTTGCATTTGATTGCCCACATGATCCCCATATGGCCACCATATTACCCAAGTTTCCGTTTAGCTTCCTTTTAGATTCTCTATGATGACCCACATCTCCGAAACCCTCCCCCCCTTCCATGGAACCTCCAGTCCACACCGGCACATCAGCATGACGATCTGCTTGGCTTTTTGTATGGTCTTTTCCCGCTCCTGGGGTCTAAATCGTGGGAATTTGGGGGGACCTTGGGTAAGGGAACCCAGATCTAATTCTGGATGCAACTGACTTATAACTACGTATACTAATGTATAAAAGGGGACCTATCGGGCCTACGATGGTTAATGGGTAATATCGGTACCCCTCCTGGGCCTCCAATTAGAATCGATAAGAGAAAGAAGGAGTATCAAGAAAGAACCTGACAATGGGGGTCCCGCTTCAGGAGTATGCCGTACAGTAGACTTTGAAAACGAAACCGTGCTAGAGCTGGGTTGGCCTCAAGGGCGCTTTAAACAGTGGTAGGCAAGTAGGGGCAGACTCAACAGCTTTTTGAGGAAAACATGTGCTATTGTTGGGTCCACATCCGAGCTCCCCTCATTTATGGAAACCGACACGGTTTAGGGTTTAGGGTTTAGGGTTCAGGTGTAGCTTACTTTGAACAACTCCCACGTCTGAACCCAGATTCGCTCTGCGGCCGCTTGTCAAGGATGGGTTTCCCATCGATCCTTGCTTGACTGCCCAGAGGGCTTGGCAAGTAGGCTGTAGGGATACACAAGGTTCAGGATCTAGGGTCAGGGGTTTAGGTCTAGGGGACTAACTTAGTAAGGAAGTGGAACACGAGGTCAGAAGTGCACTAGTTGAAGTTGGACTTTTTATAACCGTATCAGAACCCCTTTTATAAAGTATAACAACATACTTACTTAGTCCGCAGAGCCTCTCCCCAGCCCCTCTTCCCCTAAGAAGAAAAGAAGGCTCCGTTTGTACTTGGATGAGGAATCCCATATACCACGTCGTCAAAAATGTGGTCCCTCTTCTGTCTAGGGACTTTAGGAGGGACCCCTAATAGGGACCCTTAATCCCATTACCATATATAACCCTTATATAGTCATTATATGACCCCTATATCCCTAGGTAGTCCCCATNNGGGTCCCTCCCAAAGTCCTTAGATTCTGGCGTCCCTAGCAATCATAACGTAAACCCCTAATATGTGGGATACCTCAAAAGAAACCATAATTCCACAACTCTCCATCTCCCAACACTAGAGTTCCAAGACTCTCCAATTACTCATTTCGGGACATGGATGGATCACCCCCAACCCTAAACCTCAAACCCTAAAGACCCCTAGGGATCCCCTGAACATCTCAAAAGTACATGGATCCCGAATCTCCGAATCCCTGAAATCTCAACCCCTAAGCCCACAAACAATTACGGGTACTAAGTCCGTGAAACTCTTGAAGCATAGCCCTCACACATCCAGGTTATAACACCAGAACCCCTAAACCCTAAAAACCCTAAAAACCCTAAAAACCCTAAAAACCCTAAAAACCCCGAAAACCCTAAACACCCTAAAAACCTAAACCCTATACCCTATACCCTTTACCCCAAAAAGGGAACCAAAAACGTTGATCCAGCGGCTCCGCCTTGCCGCCCGTCAAAGCTGTGGCGGGCGCCTGGTGGGGCAGCGGCTTCAACGACTCCTGCGTAGGGATTATGGTTTAGGGTTTAGGGTTTAAGGTTTAGGGTTTAGAGTTTAGGCTTTCGGGTTTAGGGTTTGCGGTTTAGGGTTTAGGGTATAGGGTTTAGGGGGTTGGAGTTCAGGGTTTATGAGCTCGGGGTTTTGGGTCTAGGGTTTTGGAATTTGCGGCTTCGAATTTCGGATTGTGATTTGCAGATTTAGGTTGTAGAGTCTAGGGCTTGCGGGCTTTGGATGTTGCTGGTTGTAGTAGGGACTTCAGGAATGTAACAGAAATATGAAAACGACCAACTACTAGAACATTTGGGGCTATACAAAGAGTACGGAGCGATGTTCCATACCAGTTACTCGCAACTTTTAAGTACGCGTAGCTTCCATTTTCTTTTCCATTATCCCTATCTAACCTCTATGTAATCCCTACATAACCCTATGTGGAAGGATCCAAGTGTCAAAACATCAAGGGTTTGGCTATTAAACGCCCCATGACACGTCCACAACTTTGCCGCATGCCCACGGAAACCAACTGCTTCTTTTGTGGAGGATAAATGAAGGTTCACATGGAAAGCACAATCGAACTCCCTAAAAGTAAAAGACCTATAAAGCCAAAACTGATCCACTGGCTTAGGACACTATCCTTGTCCAAGATGTGCCGTGGGGGTGGCTCGAAGGTGTCACTCAGCTGCATCCTATCAGGTGCAATCATCTCATCCAGACAGCTCTCCAGCTTGGCAAAAGCCTGCACCAACAGGCTGTAGTTCAGCTTCTTCTTCTCTGCCGACAGCGGAAGAATTTCCCCGTTCTCATTCTTGGCACCAGTGACTTTGGAGACCTGATCTAAGACAAGCATGACCTGGTCTGCCGGGTCAGTGGGCTCTTCGTAGAGGGTGGTCTTCCAATATAGCAGGTGTAGGTGGCTGTCCATGGCAGCATCAAAGCGCCGCAGGTATGGCGCGGGGTCCCTGCCCAGACCTGGGTTGCTGTTCAGGAACTTAGTTTAACTGACTAAATACTAGTTACTAGTTACTACTTACTACATACACTCCTTCTGGTAATGTAGTCTAACCAACTATATTCGGAAAACCACACTAGTTACTAATTATTATATACACTCCTTATGGTAACTTTCTGGAAGTTCCTTAACAGCAACCCAGAAACCGCCACCATCATCAGCAAGGATCTGCTTCACTGGATCTGGCAGCTCCGCATCTGCCAATGTGTAGTCCAATGTATTTGCACGCTGGAACTCAGAAGAGCCCTTTGTCAGAAGGTCAGAGGCGACTTCACAATGAGCCACCTCAAAATGAAGTTGAACCCTCAATTGAATCAACCTGTTGGACTCCATCTCTTCTAACAGCTCAGAACACTTCTGCAGAGGCTTGTGGATTCGGAAGCGGTGTTGATCGCACATCAACTCCCGGGAGATGTTCCACATAACGACGGCCACCTCCTCAATCAGGTCAGGAGCTTCAATCCTTCTGGCCGTCATGATGCACTGCTCGCATAGTCTGACCGCCCTATGCCGAGTCTCAATCTCTCGCTTGGCCTGCTCCTCGGCGGACAACAGCATCTTGGACGTGGGGTCATCCTTCTTAACGTTGCAGGCTTGCCAGACATCGCACTCAGCCTTGCATATGTCCAGAAGCAGTCGGCCTCGACCAGGGGGTATCTGAAACCTCTCGAGCCGAGCAATCATGCAAATAGCTAGGGCCCAGTTCTTGGCACAACAGGCGGCGCGGACTGCCAAAGCAAGGTCGACAAGCATCTGCGGCTTGACATTCCCTCGAGTCACCTGGCCACCATCAGGTCGTGCACGCGGGTCAGCATTGAAGGCGTCCCTGGCAGCTCGTAGGTCATACTCATTGTCAATACTTGCCCAGGCTTTGATAAGCTCCTCGGCTGCAGCATCAGGCGGCGTGCCACCGTTGCAAATGAAGAGCGAGGCCCCAAGCACGGCGCTGCCACTAACTTTGACGACATCGTCTTTCACCTTTCCAGGTGCCTTACGATTGAAGAAAGCCCGGGCATTCCAGACCAGCTGCTGAAGGCGCGCCCCACGAGCTGCTAGCACTGGGTTTGAGGCGGTCGTCGGCTCCTTCATGAACTCGTCAAGGAGCCCGCTTGCTTCATCGGCCCTCTTCTGCGCGTCCGCTTCGCGGCCCGCGTCCTCAAGCCCAAAGGCTAGGTTCAGTGTAATCTCTATCAGCCATGGTAGGTCGATGGGTACTGGAATGGCTGCTGTTGTACCCCCACCCTTTCCGGGCTTGCCCCCCGCAGCCCCGCTTGAGGAGGCTGCTCTGACGACCTTCAAAGCTTCCAGAACTTGAGTCGTCTCATTCACAATGTACTTCTGCCATCCTGATCGGCAGAGTGGCCGTGCGACCCTCCAAAAAACTAGCGATGCATTGTACAGCAGGAAGCCATAACCTTGCGAGCGTGCCCAGGCCAAGACTTACAACCGTGAACTGGTACAAGAAACAAGCCGAAATTCTTCTGAATGAAGTCACGATGCGACTGTCATTCTGGGCCCAGCCGGATTCACTCGCTATGTTGAGGGCCTTCATAGACTCAGCGTAAGCATGGCTAAGTCATCACCACGTTGCCATGTCGCTTAACTTGATTGCAAACTCATTATGCCGTCTACCCGGCAAATGCATGGCGTTCCACAACTACGGGGGCAAGAAATGCAGGATCCTGCCTTCACCAAGTACTCTTGCAGTGCATATTGCAGCTGCCTCAGTATGACCCAACACATGCGAAGATGCCGCATGGCATCAGACCACATCAGAATGACTTGAGACCCCTTAAAGAACTCCTAGAACCAAGCCCTTTAACTTGGTGATCCAATTTTTGTCTATAAATCTTTCAGGGGTACAAGGCCTCAACCCGAAACCCTAAACCGCTTGAACCCTAAAACCCTAAACCCTTAAACCCTGCCACCATGTGACTGGAGCAGGTGGAGGCCCTTCAACCCGTGCCGTGTGGCCAGTCGGGATTGGCAAAGGCAGCGGATCAGCAAGGCCCGCACAGTGAACCTTCGCATTGCCAGGCTAAGGGCTCATTATTTTTGAAAAAAATCTATCATGATTATTTTTATGACTATTATTACTACTAGTTGCAATACTTTTATTGCTACTGTTCTTCTTATTCTGAATGCTACTATGCTTAGGGCGTGCTTCCTGCGGAGGTATGTAGGTGTGTCCGAGCCGCTGATTCTCCTCACAGGCCAAACGATCGTACAGCTGCAGCGCACGTTCCGCCTGCTCATCATGGCCCCCAACATCCTGCGAATCTGGGTTGCTGTTAAGGAACTTAAATTAAGTTACCATAATGGGTACATATAGTGAATGATGGGGTTTCCCCAATATAGTAACTTAATTTAAGTTCCCTAACAGCAACCCAGCAACATCTTGCCAATGGAGGTTGTCAGGATTAAGGGCCTTATAGGGGTAATATAGGGGCATAGTAATATTGGGGTTATAGAGGGATAATGGAAAAGAAAGTGGAAACTACTATTCAGGGTTTAGGGTTTAGAGTTTGGGGTGTAGACTGTAGACCCATGATGAAGCAGACCCCTCCCGTTAAGGGCCGTAATATTAGGATCCCTATCCTAAGCCCTATTAGGGGGAAGGGGAGTTTATGAACTAGGGGTCTACATTAGGGCTATGAATATTACGACACTAGTAGGTACTAGTATCTGTGGTGTGAAGCTTTTCTGGTCTATGCTTCGGTTGAAAAGCCCTTCAAGCCTAAAAGCCGAATGTATCCCTATCATCCCTTCATGCCATCTAGAAGGAGTACGACGAAGAACATGGTCCCCATTGCCCCAGAAAGATACGAGTATCACTTTGCAGTGATACAAGGGTTTTTGGTGTAGGGTTTAGGCTACAAGGACGCGCATGCAAAAGAAAGCAGGATGTGTCAACGAGGATCCGAGGCTGCGTCTTCGAAAGTGAAGGTACCCCCTATTATTTGGGTCAATCCCCAACCTATAATTGGTACCACAAGGGACTGTTGTAGGTATCTTCAGGCACTCGTAATTTCATAAGGAGCTATTACTATCTGAAGAATTACCTGAACTAATATACTCATCAAAACAGAGATGCTAGTCCCCGAACAGGCACCCACGATTAATGACCACAAAGCTTATATATGGGAGTTTGTCAGAAGAACCCGTAAATATAAATAAATAAGTATGTATATATATATATGATCATCAATATTAAACTGCCATATCCCAAGTTACCCTTCTATTCAAAACTCCGATGTAGTCCTGCCGTTCCGCTATGATTGGTTGGTTACCCAGACCACCTCACCCCAATCCCTAGACCCTGAACCCTAAACCTAAACCCTTTAATCTTGAACGCATATCCCCCTAGACCCTCAACCCTAACTAGGCCTTAGGCCTCTAAGCCTGAACCCATATCTACCCTAAACCCTGAACCCTAATTTTCAATCCCTATTTTAGGGGACCCTTACCTCCATCTAGCCATTTCTGTTCCAAGGGGCAGAGGCTGCCTCCGCAAAAAAGATAAGCAGCTCGGGGGCAAAGTCTTCTCCTGGTGGAAGGGGTTCTGGGCAGGGTAGGTATAGTTGTTATGAAGCGCCGGCATTGGCTACAATGGCACATCGCTGACTACCTAGTTCTAACTTGAATGTTTTCATACCCAGGCTAAGGCAGGGTTTGAGATTTCGCGCTTCAGGCTCCCGGTGGGTTTGGAGCAACGGCCGCAAGAATTGGAATACGGAAACTGGACGACTAATGCCACTTCTCACTCATCCCGGGCTGTGGGGCAGGTGGCTATTGCTATTCCAACTTTCTTGCTTCTACTGTACTGTAGATGCCGGAACATAAGGCCCATGAACTACCCTAACAGCAGGATTTTCTTCCATCAATAGCAGGGTTTAGAGTTGAGGGCGCAGAGGACGTCAGGGGATTAGGCAGCTTACCGGGCCGAAACTTCATGAGACTTATATAAATGCGCTTTAGGGCTATACAGGGATTATATTAGGGTTATATAGGGATTGTGTTGGGGTTATACAGGGATTATATTGGGGTTGTGTTGGGGTTATATAGCGATTATATTTCTTAGGGGCTTCTAACCTTACCTCTAAACCCATTACTAGCCTCCATAAGGCTACCTCAGTTATATGTAGGGTTATGACCCAGTCATAAACAGCTACTGAATCTCCTGGACCTTCAAGTATCAGCCGCATATATGGAGTTCCGAGAATCATAATCAAAAACAGTGTGAGGACTGCCGTCAAACAGTCACCAGCCGTCGGCGTGATCAAGTACAACATGGCTTATTTGGAGTTTAGGTTGAGTACTGCCCCCACCCTGTAACCGTTTATATTAAGGGTGATGTTGAGGGCTATATTTAACTATAATGTAAATATTCTCCAAAAGTACCCAAAGTTTAGGCTTCAGGGACTTGGGGTGCATCAACGGACTCTGATTTGGGGGAAGGTACTAAGTCTGTTCTCCCATCCTTAACCAAGGGTTCCAGGTCTTTACTCCTAGGGTCGTACCCGGGAAAGGCATCCCTCCTATGACGCGCGGTTTAGGGTTTTCTAGGGTTTAGGGTCTAGGGTTTAGGTTTAGACACGTGTATCGCACGGGTGTGGGGTTTAAGGTTTAGGATGGCCCTTATTCGCTTCAGTTCAGTCCGTTTGGGCTCCTGAAAAAGATTAGGTCCGGGAGTACAACCTTAAGGGTACAAACCGGAAACCTTTGATCTCATCATCTCGAAGCCAGAACCACAAACCCAACACCCTAAACTCAAAGCCCTAAACTCTGAACCCCCAAGCCCTTACCCTGAAGCTCTAAGGACTCGACATTGAGGCTTTTGGGCCCAAAGACCCGACTATAAACCAGTTTTTTGGGCGGTTTTCAGCTGTAGGGATTAGCCAAAAGATGATAAACCCTGGATAACCCCTATAATTGATCCAGTTTGCATTGTATTTTCCATAGTCCCAATAAATCCCACTATCACCCCATTATAACCTCCAATATAATCCCCTATAAAACCCAATATACTATAGTAGTTTCCATCTTTCCATTACCCAATACAACCCCAATATACGGTCGGCCCCGAGCACTCGCCTGTGGAGAACCGGCTCGCGTTGCGCTCGATAATTACGAACGCATCATCGACAAGCTTGTGGGCCCTTGGCTAAGGCCCCATAGGGTTTAGGGTTTAGGGGTTTAAGGGTTCAAGGGCCTAGGCGGTTGGGTTTAGGGACTCGGGGCTCAGGGTTTAGGACTCAGGGTTCAGGGCTTAGGGTTCAGGGTTTAGGACTCAGGGTTGAGGGCTTAGGGTTCAGGGTTTAGGGGCTTAGGGTTCAGGGCAGACTTTTAGGGGCCTAGGATCGGGGCCCCATAACGCACAAGGTAGGTGCCTAGATGGCTGGAAAAAGGTGGGCGGAAAATCATGCGAGAATTGTATGAGGATCAGTAAGGAATAACACCAGCAATGAATTCCCTTTTCTACATGCGACATTGAAATCTTACAGGTTTCTGAAAGCAGGGCTCCCTGTTAGGGATGTGCAGGGATCACAGATCAGACATCGAGAGTGGAAGGTCGCCAGTGGAGAAAAATCATGGAATCCGTTTTGGACAAAAATAACATCAGAAACCCAAAGGCAGCAACAGAGGATGATTTTTGAGCCCTAAACCTTAAACTTCGCCGTAAACCCTACACCAAAACCTTGAACCCCAAAGCCCTGAACCCTGAACCTGCAACCCCACACCCTGGATTTAAGCCCGCCCGCTCAGGCAGACACAAAAAAATCCTGCAACTTACTGGTGACAAGTAGGCAAGGAACGAGAGGAAGACAGGCAGTCTGTGGGGCATTCTACAAGAACAACTAAACGGCTTCCTTCCTCCATTCTCTACTTAACCACCGAACCCTATTCTTGTACGGCAAAACCCGACATGATCCTGTAACCCCTTTAAAGCGACCCTATACTGAACCAAGGCGTCATGCAATTCTGGGGCCCAAGCTGTTCCTCACTGGCCTTGGTAGCTTCTTGGATAAGCCGGCGCAAGTGATAATCCGTTGAGGCCATACCTGGCACGTCCCAGCTGAAAGGAAGCTTGCCTCTGAACTAGGGCCTATAATAAGACGAAAGGAATGATACAATAATGTAATGTACTATGATGTACTAGAATATACTAGAAGATATAATACACCATAATGTACTATCACTTGGTTATGAGGTGATTTTCTCACTGAGGCCTGCAAAAACTGTGTTTGGAAGTGCCCGTCCCCGTCTTTGGAAAACCTAGAGTACCGTGATGGTTCGTGGGACTTGGAACTACCTGAACCCCACAAGTATGTAGACTAATGGTTCTGTGGGCTATTTCTAGGGGGTTTTGGGCTATTACTTTACCTACTTTCAGGGAATAGGTACTTGTACCTGGGCAATTGACCATGCTTTAAGCTTCCGAATTGGCCTTGCAACAATTACCCCAATTATGTGGTTGCTAAATCCCATGAAATATTGCGTCCATGGTTGGACTAGAAAACTTTTGAATGGCAACCACCACCCCCTACCCTCCGCAGAAAATCATGTGGAAGCCCAAAAGAAGTACCAAGTCGCCTGCTTTTCTTTTTAAGCAGGGCCATGTGGGGTTCCATGTTAGTCTGGCGGTGACCAACTTCAAAACCCTAACCCACCGACGGCAACGATGCACAAACATAGCTCTTTCATTCAGTAGGTTCAGGGTTGTACCCCTAAAGTTGTACCCCTGGGTGTAAGGATCT